TATTTGAATGTGTTCTAGACGTCACTTCAAGTTTACACTTCCGTATGCGCGCGCAGTTGTTGGGAGCGGCCAATGACCTCTCTACGTCACAATGTAACAGCTAATGACTCGTTTCAAAAACAATTCATTTCATAGACTCAGAGTCGACTCTCACTTTTGAAAGACAATAACTTTATATACGGTGCACTTTCAGATATAAATCTTTGCAGGATGTTTTCATTCCCTTAGAGCTATATTCCACACCACATGAACAGTCATTTTCAAAAATCCATGATAGGTGCTCTTTAATGTTTAGATTTATTACGATAAATCTACCATGTTGTGTCAAACCCATCCTATGTACATTAGTAGTACAATAATGGTATCATATAGATTACCATATTCCATATATCATGGAATTTAAATGGATCTCCAAGAAACCCCACTGTTACCCGTGTCATGCTTCTTCTCCTGCCCCAAACCCTTCTCTGGTCATATTTTTTACCCGTACGTTTGCTAGGGTGACCATATTTTTGATTACCAAAAACCAGGACACTCGGCCAGCAGTTGTTTTGAAAACCAGGACATTTTCATCACTTTATAAAAAACAGCCAGGGCAGAACGTGAAAACAGGACATGTCAGGACTGTTGGTCACCCTAACGTCTGCGCTTTGAGCTGGCTCCAACAGCAGAATGTGCAGGCAAAGCGTAATCGTGGTTCATAACTAATACAGACTAATATAAATATTACATATAATAGTCTAGGTAAAGTTTGGTCCAGTTGCAAAATGATACTAGCTACTACTTTTTTCTTCTTTGACGTTTTTTTTTTTTTTTTTGCTTTTATTGGCGGAAGTCCGGTGATCCCCTTTGTGTTAGAGTAAATAGAGTAAGAATAATTTAAGAACATATCTAATAGAAATATATAACATAGATACGGTTATTTTTTTTGTTGCTATTTTTAAAGCAGAAAAAATAAATATTGTGCCTTTAATAATTTAAAGGCAATGGATATGCTGACTTTTTCAGTCAACATAACAATTTACAGTGTATTAGCATGGTACAAAAATATTAATGTATTTAATAATTATTTTTTTTCAGTTTTTTTTTATTTATTTATTGTTTGTTTGTTTGTCCTTGCATAATAATTAGGGAGTCTTAACTATCAACCCAGCCTATGCAAGCAGTTCCTGGTTTTCTATTAGTTTTACACCAAATCAGGCTGAGTTCTAGATTGTTGCAATAATTGCTGTTAAATACTTTTCTTATACTCAACTCAACCCAGAATACACCAAATAATTTGGTATTAATATTTGATAAATCAAAGTGGCCATATGTATTTCCTTTGTATTTCTTAACATGTTGTTTTAGGTCCGAGACCGACCATTTTGACCCAGGTGATTGATAGCCCGAGGAAAGAGCATGAAAGACAGCCCGAGGAAAGCTTTGAGTGAAAGGTTCTTAGCCAGTCAGCATCTTCTACCCCACGTGTGGACTCTTATGGTGGGTTTACGTGCTATGCAAAAATATGATATTTTCCACTTGTGAACTGGTATTTACCGTGTGTTGCTTTCAAGTGCTTTTGTTGTCGTAATGTGGTAAAAAGATGGAGATCGAGACCTGTTATTTAGCTAAAACTATTTTAGATTGCTTCAGTCATCTGCTAAAGCAAGAAAATTATTTATCAAAACTCAAATGGTAAATAATATGCTGTATATTTTCTAGATCATGAATAGTACATATTTTTACCATTCATGACTCTTGCGTTGCTCTCCGCCATTTTGAAAAGTTCAAAGGTTATATCATCTCGGCAACTCGTGCATCAAAATATTCTACGAGCTCCCCAGTGGAAAATACCACATGAGGGGGTGTTCATGTGCATTTTCCACGTCGGCTTTTGGTATTTACCATAATTACCATAGCACGTGAACGCATCATTAAGCATGCTCACAGGCTGCATCGTCACCAGCAAGTGATCCAATGAAATGAATGACGTTGGCATGCGAGCTTTTCAAGCAAGCTCAATGAGACAGACAGACGGTAGTTATTAGCTAATATGAAATGCAAAGCAAAGCAGCTTGTTTGTGCCGCAGAAAAGCACTGAAACAAAGATAAAGGGGAACCTGTTTTTTTTTTTTTTTTTTTTTTTTTGTGGCTTATTTTTACTGGCCCATCCAGTTTTCTGGACGCCCATCTACAATCAAAATCCTGGTGCCGCTAGTGGTCTGTGCACCGTCTGACATTCCCTCCTTAGATATCTAAGGTCTTTTTTATTCCTTTTATTCTCTTCACTTTACTCTGTGTTTGGTTCTTCCCCTGTTTCCATGGTAACATATCAAACTACTGGGACCTCCTGTCTCCACCCAACCTCGTCCCCCTCTGGATTTGGTTCCAAGTCAGAGATAAAGAGATGGAGAGAGAGAGAGAGAGAGAGAGAGAGAGAGAGAGAGAGAGAGAGAGAGAGAGAGAGAGAGAGAGAGAGAGAGAGACAGAGAGAGAGAGAGAGAGAGAGAGAGAGAGAGAGAGAGAGAAAGAGAGAGAGAGAGAGAGAGAGAGAGGGAGAGAGAGAGAGAGAGAGAGATGGGTGAATGGAGTTTCATGGCTCAGCTCTCTTTCTCTGTCTCTCTACTATTTTCAAATACACTTAGATCTCTATGGTGACCAGACCAGCAGGCCTGTCTGCTGTTTGCTTGGGTTCTGTAATGGTAAGTAACATGAAACTGCCCTATTTCTCCTTGTTGTTTAAAGTAAAACAAGTCTTGTATTTTTTTTATATATATATATATATGTCAGTTCAGCAATGCATCACATTCTGATGAATCACATCTGCAGTGTGGTTTTGCCCATGAATTACTCTGATTTTTAGTTTGGTTTAATTATTTTTGTTATGTCCGCTTTCTTACTTTGTCTTTCTATTGCTCTTTGGTCTGTAATTACCAAATTGAGCTGCATATCTAGACAGCATTGCAATCCCAGGATGCTTAGTAACAAAAAGATGATCTTCAAACCAGTTTGCGTTATTATTTTTAGGAAGCTCAACAGGGAAGCTCAAATAATGAGTATTAAAAGCAGTATTTTTCTAGCTCATCCAGGTCATGTGGATGCCAATTGTGCAATGTAACAGAAACAAATCTGTAGAAAAGAGGAAATGTTACAGGTTATTTTCTGGCAGAAATAATTTTACATACAATTTAACCCAAAAAACACACAATGCAATGCGTAATTCAAAATGCAGGAAAAACATCTGTGAAATCAATTGGGAAAATTCCTTCATATTAACAGTAGACTAGGCCCAATTTTAACGTATTTTGCATTTAAACGAATTGTGCTCTCCAGCGCCTCACTTTTTCAATAGCTAGGGCGCTGGAAAAAACAGCAATGCAATTTTGAGAGTAGCGCCTCCGACAATTAAATTAATATTACATTCATATAACAGCTTCAAAGGGGTATCAGGCCGTGAGTGCAGAGACCAGCCTATGGCAGAGACACTCTCTGTGAGTGGTATTTACGACAGTAACATTAAATACACATACTCCACAGCGACTCTAGGGGTCACTGTTTGACAAAAACGGAATTCCTGCATAGTGTGCCTTTTAAACTGTAAAAAAACCCACAAAGTATTGGAAAACAATTTGCAAGAAAATAATATTTATAATATTTCAGTCGTCCTAATTAAGTTTTAATTCAATGTGTTACTTGTTGTTTCTTTGTAATCTTTTATAATAATTTACTAGAAAATTCTTGTAAATCCTACATTTTTTTTTTTTTTTTTAGAGTGTGATTTCTTTAATTCACCTCCACCTTACATTTTTGGTCGAGTCTCTAGTGCACTCCTCATCAGTTCTGCCAATGTAAAGTATTCCAACTTAGTCACATGACATGAGATTCTTGCAGAAAGTTTGTATTTGTTGGTATGAGTAAATGTGAGTAAATGATCAAATGGAATGTAAATGACCGCATTTAACCCAAATATTAGAGAACTGCCAGTCAATACAGACCAGATATAAGTGAACCAGGTCACCGGGCATTCTGACTGGATGAGACAACACACTATGGTGGCTCGTAAAAAACAAACTGCATAATCGTTTAACCAAACGCCTAGAGTTCTATTAGGGTTCTTATGTTGTCTTGTTGTCTACCTAAATAGCTGCCTTTTGAGCAAATATTTTTCTCTGGTAGTGTTTGTTGTAAGATTAAGCATGGTCTTTACAGGTCAGACTGACACTTTGCAGAGAATGAACTGAAGATCTATCAGTTCATAACTGACTACCAAGACAAACACACACCTACAGACTGGCCTTAGTCTTACTGTGACAATCAGATTTATACATGGAAATACAATCAGTCCGCTAATGGAAATGGATAATGAAGTGCTTTCAATCAGCCTCATGCAGAGTGTATTCATGAGCATAACAATTTTAATTTCTTTATTTCATTAGTGTGATACTTCTTGATATTTTGCCATAATTATATTGTGTGACATTTATATTCATTGTACTTTCCAAATTATGTCTAGTAGGACACCACGTGTGGCATGTGGGTTGTTTTCGTTGACGCACATCAACGTGCGACTGTTATATTCCTTGTTTAGAAAGCTTGTGCTTTCTTATGCCCCGAGCAAATGAGCTCAAAAGGAAATCATAATTCTCTATAACTACTCTCTCTCTCTCTCTCTCTCTCTCTCTCTCTCTCTCTCTCTATATATATATATATATATATATATATATATATATATATATATACATATTAAAATAACTACTTATTATTTTATGTAGATCGGTTAATTAACTTAAAATAGCAGTAGTTAATTAATTAACTACTTTGTCTGGTTATATGTAATAATGATAATAATAATAAAAATAATACAGGAAAGCAAGAAGTTATAAGCATTGTTTTAAATTAAGCAGATCAAAAGCCTTGAACATACCACCTTAGTTTACCTTTCTTTAAAAGGGGTAGGGGATTCTTAATCAAATAATGACACCAAGTTTGATACTTGCATGTTTCGCCCATTTGAATAGAAATGACTCCTGATGCAATTCGTTGAGGTTCCGGTTGATCTGTGCTGAAGTTGTCTTGATGTGAGAGAACCAGTTTGAGTCAGAGGATCTTTGATGAATGGAAAGACTGGGCCGCAGCCTGGCACAAATTTAGGGGTCCTTAGAAGACTTCTTGCTCATCTTCAAATTCTCAGAATCAGCAAAGGGAAAGAAGGTATGTACTTCTTTTGAATAAGTACTTACTCCGCAACATTTTCTATAAAATGCAAATGTGCATAAATTGAATGTAATCTGGACTATATTTGTCATGTTCTCATTGTCATGTAACTTACACTCTCAGTTCACTACCATTTCCTCTCCCATGGCCAAATGAATTAGTAAAGTGTCCACTGGATGCACACATTTCTGAATCTCTGTGGACTACTGTGAATTCAGACATAACTCTCTTTTTTTACATACTGTTTTTGCCTACTATTAAAGTGGGTAAATATGTATATTCGGATGCTGCTTTTGTTTATAAATTACAATGCAAGAAAAATTATTTGCAATGCGAGAAATCAAACTGATTCCTGTTTGTATTTCTGTATGTGAGCACAGACATCATACAGAACAGTCAAATCACTCATAGTATTATTAATATTCAAATCATGTGAGCTTGATGCATCATGTTGCTGCTCATTTGCATGGAGTTAAACTTTTCTCAACTTTGTGGAGCTGTTAGACATGCCAGCATTGTGTTGATAACTATCGTTGTCTCTCTCATGTCACTGGAAAACACAGACTCTCATTGAAAATTAATGACGTCTGGTTAATTTGTCTCTGCAAGTTGTTGTCAGAGAGAACAGGGTATTAAAGGTGCCAGATGGTTAAGCAGATGGGCAAAAGTGTTGCAAACATGACTCAGAAAAATAAAGTAGTTCTGAGAAGAGTCTAGCCTCATTTTTTTGCAGATGCCACATGTTTTGAAATTGTATTATGCAATGCAATGCCATTCAGACATTTTTAAAAGTACTTTTGGGCCAACAGGTTTCAGATATGCTGTAAAGTGTGTAAGTGTGTAAGCGTTTTAGCGGTCGGGAATACTAAATGGGCACATGAAACTTTGATCACATTAAAGTTGTACCCTACCTAGGCTGATAAGCTCGTTCTTTGAATAATGCAGTTACAGAACTGATGAGTCACCAAACTTTGCTCTGTTTCTCTCCAGTGTCACATGCATGCAGAAACAGACAAATGAATTCGGACAAATTAATTATAAGGTGTCACACTGCTGTAAGACAGTCTCGTCTCCCTAAAGCAAATGTGTAAATTATTAGATTAGATTAATCATCATAAATGATTAATCTAACCTCATGTAAAGTGTCCTTGCAGACCTAAATCTGATGATCCACTGCCATAATGTGCCCAAAAAGGAACACAACATGGTCGTTGGTCAGGACATGTGAATTAAAGGGGTCATGAACTGACTTTTAAAATGTTATAATATTGTTGTCTGAGGTCAACTTATAACGTTCGCTTGGTTTTTGCATTCAAAAACATTAAAATGAATAAGTAATAGGCTATTTTGTACCCAAGTTGTGAGCCTTCCTGAAAAACGGTCGGTTTTTATGGGAGTGTCGCACTGAAGACTTGGAAATAAACGCCCACTGCTGTGAGTTGATAACAGTTTTGCATATTATAATGAGTTTCACTCACCCGTCGGTGTACGTGGGGGAAAACGTCCAATGTTGTCAAATGGCAACCGTACGGTGGCCGAGAGGTGCAAAACAAATCACAATTATAAAAACAAAAAAACAAGTCAGAAAACACAACGACAATTCAGAAAACAAAATAACAATTCAGAAAACACAACAACAAATCTGAAAACAAATTAACAAATCAGAAAACACAAAAACAAATCTGAAAACAAATTAACAAGTCAGAAAACACAACGACAAATCTGAAAACAAATTAACAAGTCAGAAAACACAACGACAAGTCAGACAAAACGGAAAAGGTAGGTATATGTGGCGAATGGAATACTGATCGCTGATTGGACGAGACACCCCTTCGACATCATAGTTTCCCACTTTTAAAAACGAGACGTTTTCAGAGGCTGGTGTCAATAAAAGCTTTTATTGGACTAACAAGGACGTTTTCAGTTCTGAAACGTACAGGATATTCTTATAATATGATGACCTCTTAGATGTCAAAAGGTCAAGGAAAATTTGATTTCTCAATTCATCACCCCGATTGACTCTTTTGAATGAGATTGAATAAGTACAGTAGCCTACAGTAACTTGAATAAGTACAATACAGTAACTTTTGTGTTTTCACTTTGTGAGAGTATACACTGCACTTGGAGTGAGGCTAAAATAACTATTTAACTCATGGATAAAAGTAAATAAATGTACAACCAAAATGTACAACCTATATTTAAGATCTATTTTCCCCCTTTCTTTCAGCCGTTCTTTCACTTTCATTTGCCTTTGGGAGAATTATGTATTTGTCTTTTGTTGATCCATCTTTTTTGTCCTTTCAAATTCACTGTAAAAAGTATCAAAAAGATGGAGGACATATTTCTCTCCAATGTCGGCAGTTTATTCATACGATGACTGATTAGCTTGAGTAATATGCACGTACGCGTATTACTCTAACCATTCATAGTGAGAAAATGGTTGAGCGTGATTGAGACTGGTTGATTTGTGCACAGCATGTGACAATAGACTAAAAGGAAGAAGAGAAATGTATTATTGAAAAATACTGGCTGCTTTTGGTTGGAAGTCAGCCTTGGGTTGTGCGCTCTAGGTGGTCTCGCTATAACTGAAATAGCTTCAGCTGTGACTAATAAGACACTGAACTCATCTATTTCACACTGTGCAATGGAAAAAAAGTACAAATAAATAAAATTAACATTGGAATGAGGCTGGGTTACATTGAAATTGATGGCGCATTTATGGCATTTTGTTTTTCATTCAGTAGCCGGTCTAAGTATTTCACAATCTGCTCCGTTACTGGGATTTTCACGCAATGAAAATCCTTCTTTGTAAACATTTCTAGGGTTTACAAAGAATGGTGTGGGAAATGGTGTGGGAAAAACATCCAGTATGCAGCAGTCCTGTGGGCCAAAATGCCTTGTTGATGCTAGAGGTCAGAGGAGAAATTTGCAAGAGCTCAACAAAATTGGACAATTGAAGACTGGAAAAATGTTGGAGATGGTAGAGTCAGAATTTGGCGTAAACAGAATGAGAACATGGATCCATCATTCCTTGTAACCGCTGTGCAGGCTGGTGGTGGTGGTGTAATAGTGTGGGAGATGCTTTCTTGGCACACTTTAGGCCCCTTAGAGCCAATCGGGCATTGTTTAAATGCCACAGCCCATGTCCATCCCTTTATCGCCACCATATACCCATCCTCTAATGGCTACTTCCAGCAGGATAATGCACCATGTCACAAAGCTTGAATCATTTCAAACTGGTTTCTTGAACATGATAATGAGTTCACTGTACTAAAATGGCCACTTTTTATTTGCATCCCACAAATCTCCATCAACTGCAAGATGCTATCCTATCAATATGGGCCAACATTTCTAAAGAATGTTTTCAGCACCTTGTTGAATCAATGCCACGTCTAATTAAGGCCCTTCTGAAGGCAAAAGGGGGTCAAACACACTATTAGTATGGTGTTCCTAATAATCCTTTAGGTGAGTGTATACAAATACAGTGGGGCCATTTAGTCAGCCACTGATTGTGCAAGTTCTCCTACTTAGAATGATGAGCACGGCCGCATTAACCATAGGGCTAGGCGGGGCTTAAGCCCCGGGGCCCAAGCAAGGAGGGGGCCCGTGATTGGCTGTGGAGCAGATACTGCAAGCCATCTGATTACCAAAGCCTTACCACGCAACGTCCCCCACAAATTATCCCTGTTATTTAGTTGCACTTTGCCTTATATTCCATGCGTTATCATGGAATCATTATCATTAATAGAGACGTTCGCAAAGACCCGCCTTTTTTAGGTACTATGTGACGGGCCATGAGCCAGGCGGCTCTCACGAGTCACGCACATCATGTTCTCATGCACTCACGCAGTGAAAAATACTTCGCGGGACAAAGACTAACGTTACACCGAGTGATTACGAGAGAGAGTTCAGAGCAGCTTACTGTTGATATGAAACAAAGTCTCAACTTTCAAATATTGTCATTTAAGTAATTTAAACATTACCGTTTTCAAGTTCATGTCCACCGACTGACAGCTTTGTTGTCGGACAAAGTTGCGTATTCGGCGTTATGATTGGCCAGGCCACTTGTCATTCAAACCCCCATAGGCATGCAGGGCCAACGGCTCTGAGCAGGGCATGGTAAATTGAAACTCAGGTTTTAATTTGATATGACAAATATATTTATTCTATTTAACTTGTGAACGACCGACACTGCTGCACGTAGGCCTATATGATTGCTGCCTGCGCCTTATTAGAATAGGCTATACATCAACCAATAAATCGCCTTTACTCTTCTCTTCATTCTAATCTAGTCTATTCTTAAAACACAGCGTCATCATCGACCCCACAAACTTTCGGTAAGTTTGAATATTAACTTGATGGATGTATAATTTTGCTTTTTGTGTTTGATTAAACTCTATATTCGCCTAAAGGGCTGGCGATAATATATCCGGTAGAAATATTTAAATTTTGCTGCGCCATCATGATGTAAGTTTATCATTTAAACGCGTTTTTAAACGTTGTGGTTTGGATACAAATTATTTCAAACTGCTCAGGCACAGTGAGCAGCGGGAGAATTCATTTTGTAAATGCTGGTTTTGAGACCAAGGTGAACCATAGACTGTGGTGAACTTGAGACGGTTTTTCACAGCGCACTTGAATCCGACTCTGAGGTCTCAAAGTGGCAGACGCTGCTAATAAAGCTGCTGTCGCCATGTGTGTGAATAATGTTAATCAAACATCAGAAAGAAAGTAATTTACTGCATTTGACTGAATTACTTTTGCAAAATTAACAAGAATGAATGTTGAATTTATAGTGAAAACCATGTATTGTATATTTGATTACTTTATATAATATAATAGGCTATTATTCAGTGCTTTAAGTTTTTCATAGGTTGATTTATTGTGCCTTTGTTCTATTTTAATTTGTGACTCTTGTCATCAGTAAGCTTGAGATTATTTTCTTAAGCTACTATTATTTTTTGGTGATATTGAAATTGGTCACAATAATTATGAAA